AAAAAGAGATGTATGTAGAAGCCCTTTGTAGAATTCATGGCTCTAATGTGGCTAAGGCACTTGACTGCTAACCAGAAGGCAGGCGGTTCAAACCCACCAGCCACTCCTCGGAAGGAAGGTTGGGCAATCCTACTTCCGTAGTGATACTGCCTCGGAAACCCAAGGAGGGGTCGCTATGAGTCGGGGCCGACTCGATGGCAAACAACAACAACAACAAAAACAACAATGTGGCATCACTCAAAATGAGAAGAAACAACTGCAAACATAATTGGAATGTGGAATAAATGAAGTATGACTCTAGGAAAATTGAAAGTTTTTAAAAATGAAATGGGATACCTAAAGATCAGTATCCTAGGCATCAGTGAGCTGAGGTAGACTGGTATTGGCAACTTTGAATCAGACAGTCTTTTGGTCTGCTGTGCCACGAATGACAAATTGAAGAGAAATAGCATCAGATTCATCATCAGAAAGAACATTTCAAGATCTGTTCTGAAGTACAATGCTATCAGTTTAGTCTAGAATTGATAAAACATGAAGTGAAGATGCAGTGATAATTTTTAGTGATTGGAATGCAAAAGTTGGGAACAAAGAAGAAGCATCTGTAGTTGCAAAGTATGCCCTTGGTTTGGAAATAATTAGTCCGAGGGACTGGTGGACCGTGAGAAATTCAGCCTACATGACTGTGAGACTAGAAGAACTAAATGATGCCCTGCTACCACTGTCAGCCACTCAGAAAGTGATCAGTGCAGGAGGTTCTGGATAGAGTGGGAGGAAAATGTAGAACAAAACTCAAAATCATAAAAAGGACCAGGCTTTGATAGAGACTGGTGAAGCCCCCGAGACTGTGCTCCCTAGCGCTCCAGGCTTAGAATTGAACTCACTTGCATGGCTTCCAGCCAAACGATAGACAGGCATATAAGTTGAACATTAATACCAGGTAGGTACATTCCTCAGGACAGTCGATCATGGGAGATCAGAAGGGCATTATTTGCTCAGGGACACAACTCCAAGAGCAGGTATGCATAGGAAAGAAGGACTCGGAAAAAAGGTAACCACAGGAAGTGGAAAGAGAGTTGTTACGTTGTGAAGATTGCAATCAATGTCATGAAACAAAATGTGTATGAACTGTTGTATGGAAAATTAATTTGCTCACAATTTATGTCTACACACACACACACACACTCACACTCAAAACCAAACTCATTGCTGTTGAGTTGATCCTGACTCAGAGACCCCTCCTTGGGTTTCCGAGGTGGTATCTCTATGGAAGTAGATTGCCCAACCTTAAGGAGTGGCTGGTGGGCTTGAACCACCAGCCTTCTGGTTAGCAGTCAAATGCCTTAGGCATTATGCCACTATATATATATAGTGGCATATACACACACACACACACACACATATTTAAACACCCCCCCCAAAAAAAAAAAAAAAAGCTTCTGGCAGTGAAATGCCTTAGGTACTGTGATACCAGAGCTCCTATGTATGTATATATGTACATATATACATATATGTGTGTGTATATATGTACAAACACCCACCTTTGGTGATAAAAAACACTGGAGATCAACAACTTTTTCATTGCAAATACCTTTTTTCAACAGTATAATTGGTGACTGTACATGTGGACCATGCCTGATGGAATACACAGGAATTATATTGACTACATCTGTGGGAAAGATGATGGGGAAGCTCAATATCGTTAGTCAGAACAAGGCCAGGGACTGACGGAATAGACCATAAATTGCTCATATGCAAGTTGAAGTTGAAGCTGAAGAAAATTAAAATAATCCCATGGGAGTCAAAATACAACCTTGATTTTATCCCCCCTGAATTTAGAGATCATGAAGAATAGATTTGATGCATTGAACAACAGTGACCATAGACCAGACAAGTTTTTGGGTAACATCAGGGACATACATAAAGGAAACAAAAGGTCATTTAAAAGACAGGAAAGAAAGACCAACATGGCTGTCAGAAGAGATTCTGAAACTTGCTCTTGGAACAGAAAGTAGCTAAATTGCATGCAAAAAGTGATGATGTAAAAGAGCTGAACAGAAGATTTCAGAGGGTGGCTCAAGAAGACAAAGTATTATAATGAAATGTGCAAAGATGTGGAATCAGAAAACCAAAAGAGAACACACTCAGCATTTTTCAAGCTTAAAAAACTGAAGACAAATTTCAGACTCTAGTTGGTATATTGAAGGATTCTATGGGCAACATATTGAGCAGTGTACGAAGCATCAAAAGAAGAGGGAAGGAATACACACAGTCACTGTACTAAGCAGAACTGGGTGATGTTCAACCATTTCAGGATGTAGCATATGATCAAGAACCGATGATATTGAAGAAATACCTTTTAAGATGTTTCAACAAATGGTTTGAATGCTGAAAGCAATCACTTGTTTTTGCCAAGAAATTTCGAATATAGCTACTTGGCCAACTGACTGGAAGAGATCGACATTTGTGCCCATTCCAAAGAAATGTGATGCAACAGAAGGTGGATATTATCAAACAATATTATTAATATCCCATGAAAATAAAATTTTGCTGAAAATAATTCAAAAATGGTAACAGCAGTACATAGACGGGGAACTACTGGACATTCAAGCTAGATTCAGAAGAGTGTGTGGAATGAGGGTTATCGTTGCTGATGTCAGATGGATCTTGGCTGAAAGCAGAGAATACCAAAAAGATATTTACCTGTGTTTTATTGACTGTGCAAAGGCATTTGACTGTGTGGATCATAACAAATAATGGATGGGATTGCAAAGAAAGGGAATTCCAGAATACTTACTTGTGCTGCTCATGAAAAACCTGTCCATGGAGCAAGAGGCACTTGTTTGAACAGAACAAGGGGATACTGTGTGGTTTAAAATCAGGAAGGGTGTGGGTCAGGATTGTGTCCTTTTCCCATACTTATTCAATCTGTATGCTGGGCAAATAATTTGAGAAGCTGGACTCTAGGAAGAGGAATGCAGGATCAGGTTTGGAGGAAGACTCTTTAATAATCTGTGATATGCAGATGACACAACCTTGCTTCCTGAAGGGGGAGAGGACTTGAAGCACTTACTGAAACATCAAAGACTACAGCCTTTGTATGGATTATACCTTAACATAAAACAAAAATCCTCAGAAATGGATCAATAAGCAACATCATGATAAATGGATGAAAGTTTGAAGTTGTCAAGGATTTCATGTTGCTTGGATCCATAATCACTGCTCATAGAAGCAACAGTCAAGAAATCAGAGGACATACTGTATTGGGCAAATCTGCTGTAAAAGGCTTCTTTAAAGTATTTTATTAAAGAGCAAAGATGTCACTTTGAAGACTAGGATGCACCTGACTCAAGCCTTTGTATTTTCAATAGCCTTCACATGCATATTGGACAGTGAATGTTCTGGTTACTTAGTACCGCTCTGACAAGAATATACCACAAATGGGATGGCTTGAACAAACAGGAGTTTGTTCTCTTACAGTTTGGAGCCTTTAAGTCCAAGTTCAAAGTGCGAGGCTCTAGGGGCTGTGTGAAAGCCCCTTGACCTTGGGCTTCAGCTCTGCCTCTTGCTCGCAGCCCACTGAAGCTAGAGGCATCTCTTCACTCAGGCAGCTACTGGCTGCTGAGGCTGACAAGCCCAAGGTCAGCAAATAAAATGGCACAGTCCCGATGTTACCAAACCACATGGCAGGCCATTAATTTGAGTCCATTGTAAGTTCCAAGGTTGGCAGAGCATGGCAGGCTGCTGAACAACAACATGGCTACATGCAGGGGCCAAGCATAGGCTGGAGACCATTCCCAAAGCTGCTGCTTATATACGGAAAGCAGACCACATACCCAAAGCAGCTACGTGGCTGCTCCAATAGATTTCACCATGGAGTTAATTACCAATCTCACCATGAGGAATAACCGCATCCAGCTGCCCAGCCACTCAACCAGGTCCAACCAAGTTGACACACAGACTTAACCACCACAGTGAATAAGGAAGAGTGCAGAAGAACTGATGCATTTGTATTGTGATGGTGGTGAAGAACATTGAATATACAGGACAAGCAATTCTGTCTTGGAAGAAGTACAGCTGCAATCATCTTTAGAAGCAAGAATGGCCAAACGTCGTGTGTCATACTTTGGTCATATTATCAGGAGGGACAGTCTCTAGTGAAGAATATCATGCTTGGTAAAGTAGAGGGTCAGTAAGAAAGGGAAAACCCTCAATGAGATTGACAAAGTGGCTACAACAGTGGGTGCAGATATAGCTATGATTGTGAGGATGGTGCAGGACCAAGCAGTGTTTTGTTCTGTCATACATAAGGTCTCTATGAGTCAAGAACAACTTAACAAGCACCTAACAACAGCCAACAACATATAAATATAAGGTTTTATTGTACTTCATTAAGATTCAGGGATTTGTTTATTTGGTATTTTTGTCAGCATTGTTTGGTGTTTAGATTATAAATCTCTTGAAAATGTGACTCATGAGTTTTGGGGTTGTTTTAGCTTTTGTACTTCTTAGATTTTAAGGAATTTCTAGTAAAAAGTCAATGCTTAATTGTCCATTGCTATTTTCTGTAAGTAGTGAAATGAATTGATGGAAGGATTGAAGCCTAAGATGAATAACTGGGTGAAAAGGACTTTAACGAACCTTCTAATCCTAATATTTCATAATTCTAAAATAGAGTAAGTTGAAAATTAGCCCAGCCTCAGTGGAACAAAAAGTATTTTCTTTTTGCCCATGAGTGTAGATAGGTTCAAAAGAAAGATTTTCATAATATGTTAAAACTCTCAGTCTCTGTGGCTCTTATCTCTGCTTATATCTTATATGTGAAAAAATGAGATTTCTTGTAAGAAACACACTTTTATAAATCCTAGACATTTTGTATTCCTGTTTAAAGCACCTATTCTGATTTACTTCAGAGAAGCAATTTGTTTGCTCTAAACTAAACTATACTAGGTTTCTAGTTACGACTGTTGCCCTGTGCTAAAAGTAATGTTTCTTTTTTCAAGGTACGCCAGCCTGTCATATGCATCAACAACCATGTATTTTGTTCAATTTGCATCGATTTGTGGTTGAAGAATAATAGCCAGTGTCCAGCTTGCAGAGTCCCCATCACACCTGAAAATCCTTGTAAAGAGATTATCGGTAAGAGCCTGTTTTAATACATGTAGAAGCAGACTTGAAACTGTCTCCAGATAATATATGTGTTGGGAAAGAGTGAAATACACAATTTTCAGTGGTGTTATTTGGTGAACATCAGGCGGGTGGATTAGTAATTTGTATAATGTATATGTGGAGCAACTGAGGAATAATAGGCATTATGAAAGATGCTAAGAGAAATCAACCTTAAGGCATTATGAAGTTTGCATTCTGGGAGAGGCTATACCTATGGACCAAAGTATTAAAGATTGAAAGCAGCAGATTCTAAGGGCCAATGAAACAGCCTAGAACTTTCAGGCAAAGAAGTTCATTTAGGAACACTGAGAAAGGCTTCATGAAGTAGGCAGCCTTCAGGTTAAAATTTCAACTATTAAAGAATTGGGAGGATATTTTGTGCAGAGGAAATTAGAAGTAGGACATGTTTTTGGAAATGATGAGTAATCTCCTTTAGATCTGTCTACTGAAGTAAGACTGAAAAGTAAATTGAGACTTTAGAGAACCTAGAGTAACAAACTAAATCAGGTACTTGCTCTTTGGGTGGGATGGAAGATGAAGTGGACATGATGGTGTTGAGCAAAAGAGTGGCATGACCCAAAATATGCTTTAGGAATTGTATTCTAGTAGTGACATACAAATTGGATTGTAGGGGAGAGACAGGATATAAGTAAGTTAGGTAAGAGACTTTTGCTAATGTCTTTGGGCCTAGAAATGGGCTCACTCCTATGGATCGACTCTCAGCCCAACAGTAGAAAGACTTATATGCAGAACACCTACCCCAGGGCTATATACTCACCTACTGTAGGGAAATGCACCCCTTAGAGCAATCAGCCATGAGGCACCAGAGGGGCAGCATTTACATCGAGGGAAAGCTGGACAGAAAGGAATGCATAGTTAAAAAGGGCACAGGGTGGAGGTAGTAAGTCTGGATTAAGGGTGGAAAAAAGAGTTTCACATATTGTGGGCAAGAGATGGAAAAACTTGAGAGGATCCTTGAAAAATAAAATATTTGAAGAACATTTTTAGTTTATGTTTTTTTATTATGCTCATACAAGTTATTTCTCTTAGATTGTAAAAATTAAAATGATTTTTGTTTTTGCTTTAAGAGAAATTGAAAGTGAATATTTAATTAGTCATATATAGAAAACTTAAGTCATTGTAATAGTCCGAAATTAAGGACAATGGTCATAAATAAGATTTATACAATGGAAGTGAAAAGGGAGAAGACGGATACTAGAGGCAAAGGAAGAACTAGTGGGATTTTGGAACTAAGATATCCAGAGATGGAATGAGAGGTAGCTCCAACATCTCTTTCTTGAGGATCTGGATATAGGCGGCCGGAGGAGTAATTGCCTTCTGTGTTGCATGCTACATTGTGGACCTTTCAATCTCTAATCTTTTTGTCTGTGCTGAAAGTCACCAAGGAGTCAAATCTTTTCTTACAGAATATGAGCTTCGATGATTAAAATAATTTGTTTTCCCTTCAGTTCTTTTCAGATCTCTTTTCATGCTTTCATTCATTCATATCTAAGTGACAGTTCATAAACTCTCTCAAGTAGATCATCTGTCTTTGGTTTGTAAAGTTCTGAAGAAATATTGTATGAGCCCATTGTAAAAAGTCAAGGAAAGGTTTACATAGGGAAGGAAACTCACTTTGTTGGTTACCGGGAATGGGAGGGAAGGGGAGGAAAACTTTCAGACTAGTGGGGGATCACATGTTGATTTGGGTGAGGGGAGGGATGATATGGAAAGAGTCTATGACCAGCATGATGACATTGGGGAAAGGAAGGACACTGAAACATGGACATAAGATATAGATAACAGAGGCAGACACTAGTACATGCACATTATTGCATTACCTCTAACACCAAACACCAGGCTACTGATAAATGCATAGACAGGTGAGAAGATCAGTTGGGGGTCAGTAGACAGGAATATACCCTAGACCAAGGATAGATAATGACTGAAGATAACCTTACATATGTACTTGTGCTACAAAATTAGCCACACACTTTACAGAAGCAACAGAAGACAGAGTTGGAGTAACCTTTCAGAGATAACCAGACACTTTGAGAGTGAGAATCACTGGGCCTACCAACTCGAGATCATAGTCTTGGGGGATATCATGCACAATTGGTACAGCATAGTACGTAAAATCTTATTCTACAACCTACTTGGTGAGTAGCAACTGGGGTCTTAAAAGCTTTCGAGTGGCCATCTAAGATGTAACTATTGGTCTTCTCACATCTGAATTAAAGAAGAGTGAAGAAAATCAAAGGCAACTGCAAACAGTTAGTCCAAGGATAAGGTGGACCATGAGGACCTTAGCCTTCATGACTCCACGACCAGAAAAACTAGATGCCAACCACTCAGAAAGGGGTCAAAACTGGAGATCCTGGATAGAATGGAGGAAGAATGTGGAACAAAATTCAAAAACACAAAAATGACCAGAATTACTCTATCTGAGTAGAGTCTGGTGGAACCCCCGAGACTATGGCCCCAGGTTAACCTTTGGGCCTAGAAATGGGCTCACTCCTATGGATCGACTCTCAGCCCAACAGTAGAAAGACTTATATGCAGAACACCTACCCCAGGGCTATATACTCACCTACTGTAGGGAAATGCACCCCTTAGAGCAATCAGCCATGAGGCACCAGAGGGGCAGCATTTACATCGAGGGAAAGCTGGACAGAAAGGAATGCATAGTTAAAAAGGGCACAGGGTGGAGGTAGTAACAGGGACACAGGGATGGGTGGGGAGGAGAGTTTTTTATGGCTGGGGATGGTAACTGGGGCATGAAATCAAATGTATATGAAGTGTTGAATGTAAAACAAATACTCTCTATAAATTTGCACCCAAAGCACAATAAAATTTAAAAAAGAAAAGTCCTGAAAAAGAACATCTGTAAAATGCCTTTGCTATCATGATGCTAAGAAATACATAATGCTAAGAAAAATAGGGTAGCCACAGCATAAGTGAAGAGCTCTCAGGAAGTAATCATTTTGAAAATATTTGTGAGAAGTCTTGGGCATTCAATTAATGCTGTGACTCCTAATCCATTGTATCTGAGTTGTTGGAATCAGTGGAAAGACCCATTAATCTTTTCAGTTGTGATACTGGTTTGAATAGCTAATTGATCTTATCATTATTCAACAATTGTCTACTCTTCATAATATGTAGTAGTACAAATATAATACATTAATAAAATATAGGCTTTGCCTTCATGGAATGTACTATAATGAGATACACTTAATGATATTTTACTGAAGGTGTTTCTTAGGGTGTTGTGTGATACTTTTTTCTGAGCATTGGGATAGAGAGTAGGTCTGAATGGGAGCCTAGAGTGTGTAGATAAGAGGAAGGGTAGAAGTTATGCTAGAGAATTATCTAAAAAAAATAAGTAAAGAGTTCATTTTCATTTTGCCCAAATCGGAATGAAAAATGAAGCCTGTTTGTTTGTTCTTAGGAGGAACAAGTGAAAGTGAACCTATTCTAAGTCATACGGTCAGAAAGCACCTTCGGAAAACTAGACTTGAGTTACTCCACAAAGAATATGAGGTAAATAATAATTAAAGTTTAAAATGATAATAGCATTGAATTTAAGGGGAAATAATTTTTTTTTTTCTTTTTAGTATTAAAGAAGGGGAGAATAGGATATGAGATAAAGGGAACAAATGGAAGCATTTCCTTTTTTAATTTAAATCTGTACCTCAACAGACACATAATTTTGGAATTTGCTGCCTTACGAAATTGGGAGATTAAGGAAACTCTCTTGTGAAAGTTAGTCTTTTGACTCTCACAAGGCATTATGAATGCTATGGTAAACAGTGATGGATGAAAACCTCCATTCTGTTTTTGTTTCTGAATGTAAATTCCCTGAAGACTATGCCTTACCAATTCTGGTAAAGTAAGTATATGTTAAGTCTGCTATCAACAAAGAAATTTTAGTATGAAATATGCTGTTAGGCTGGGTTCTCTACAGAAGCAAAACCAGTGAAGCTTAGAGAGAGAGAAAGATTTCAAGGAAATGGCTCACGCAGTTGTAGAGGCTGGCAAGTCTCGAGTCTGTGGCTCAGATGTCACGCTGGAGGCTTCTTCTGACTTACATAGCTGCAGGGTCTGACAGACATAAGATTGGCAGGGAATACTGCAGGCTGCTGGTTGCAGAGGCTGATGAATCCAAGATTGGCAAGTAAGATGGCAGGCTGCTGGCTTATAGGCTATGAAGGCTAACAATCCCAGAATTGGCAAGCAGTATAGCAGGATGGGGCAATCTACTTCCGTAGTGATACTGCCTCAAAAACCCAAGGAGAGGTTGCTATGAGTCGGATCCGACTTGACGGCACATAACAACAACAACAACAACATGGTAGGCTGCTAGTTCAAGTCTAGACAGCCAAAGGTCAGCTGATGATGAGCCAGATGCAAGAGCTAGGTCAAGCAAAGCTTTTCCACATCGTCCACATATATTGGAAGCAGGCCACACCCCTGAGGAAACTCCTTTTCAACTGATTGGTTGCTCACAGCAGATCTCATCATGGAGGTGATTATATTACATCAGACCTCATCATGGGGGATGAATGTATCGTAACTGCCAAACCACTTCGAGAATCAGGCCCCAGCCAAGTTGACATACAACCTTAACCTTCATATACACTATTTCATATTCTTGTCTAAAAGGGAATGGGCAGGTTAAATTGACATTGGTGATGGAACTTTTCTAAATTAATTCATGCTAATGAAAACATGCTTTTGAATAGTAAACTTTAAGCCTTATTATCGTTTTATGTTGACTGAAGAGGGAATATTACTGATCTCCTTTTGGACATAAAATATGCTTAAGTTAAAATGTACACATGCAAACTACTTCACCTACCTCAAATAAATTTTTAGATGAAGTGAAGCCTAAATAAATGATTTGAATAAAAATATTCATGTGTTTTCCTGTTTATTTTTGTTAATACATGAATTGCAACAAATAAAATGATTATCTCATTTTATAATGCTATTTAACTAGAAATATATATGACAGTTTAACTAGAAATATATATAACAGTAAATTGTATTATCTGTTAATTCTACAATGTATTCTTATATACTTAAGTGAATATTTAACATACTTAAGTCCTACTCAAATTCTTTGAGAAATCATTGGCAGATTGAGCTATTTCAGTACAAACCCAAACCAAACCCACCTGCCCTTGAGTTGATTCCTACTCATAGTGATCCCATAGGACAGAGTAGAATTGCCCCATAGGTTTCCAAGGTTGTAAATCTTTACTGAAGCAGACTGCCACATCTTTCTCCCATGGAGCAACTGGTGAGTTTGAACCATTAACCTTTCAGTTAGCAGCCATGCGTTCTAACTACTGAGCCACTAGGACTGCTTCTGCTTAGGCATATGGAGTTTACTTTCTAATAACAGAATTTCTAACAACTTCTGTTTAATGAAATATCTATTATAGATGAAAAAATGGTATATAGAAAAAGGCTCTAGTACAAATGTCTAGTGATTGGATTTAAAATAATAAGTCATGCCAGAGGGGAAAGACTAGTACTTAAGATAGTCATGGTAGCAATTGAAGAACAAGAATCTAGAAAAGTTAAAAATTAAAAATTAACTACAAGTATTGTCCTGAAATTAAAAGTGAAAGGAAATGTGACATGATTTCACTCCTACTTCAGTATAGAAGCAAAATATTAACATTAAACACAACTCTTAATAGATCAGCTTGATCTTTACTGTATTTTTTAATTCCTTTCAGTGAAGTCATTAAATGTGCCTCAACTTTTTCTTCTGAAATAGAAAGTATTTCCTTGTTAGAATTCAACCAACTTTTCTTGTTCTATGAATGATATCTTAAATAGAATCAAAGATTTGACATTTTTAGTTTTTTAAAACCACAAGCTATGATTACATTACACTGAAAGCAGCAGAAATGCCACTTTTTATGAGAGTCAGAATACATTTAGAGAATTTCAGATGTTTGTGATTTTCTGGCTATATAACTATTCTGATCCATAAATCTATGCATCTATAGAATATTGAGTATAAAATAAAAAAAACCATTGGCTTCAGTTTAGCATAGATGTGTTTAGTATCTAATGTTATGCAATCCTTTTTTCAGGATGAAATAGATTGTCTACAGAAAGAGGTAGAAGAGCTTAAGAGTAAAAATCTCAGCTTGGAGTCACAGATCAAGACTATTCTGGATCCTTTAACCTTGATGCAGGGCAACCAAAACGAAGACAAACATCCAGTTGTAGATAATCCAAGTAAAATTGACTCAGAAACTGTAGCAGAGTGGAAGAAAAAACTCAGAACAGCTAATGAAATCTATGAAAAAGTGAAAGATGATGTAGATAAGCTAAAGGAGGTAAGTGGTTGTTTTTAAAAATACTTTAAGAACCTTCAAAAGTATGGTGACTCATCATTAGATGATTTGTGGGGGAAGGATGAAACCCCTAGGTGAGCATTTATGTGCAATAGGAAAACTTACTTTTTCTTCTTCAATGTCATTAGCTGCCAAGAAATATCAGGTGGTTCCATTTGTGACTATAATTGGAGGCTCTATAGTGCATCTGTATGAGTTTGCATCTTTTTCTAGGAGAATGACATCAATTTAAAGGATCTATTTCTATTTTCTTCGTCTTTGAGGTTTGCCTTAATTTTTTTTAAAGCTTGTATCAGTGATATACCCTGTATGCATAAAAACAAACATACCCATTCCCCTACCTATAAAATGAAAGATTTGGACCATATCTTTTCTAACACTACCATTCTCTGATTCTTAAGACTATAATTATATAGTTAAAGGTTTAATGACTAATTCTAAGAAAGCAATGACCAGCCACTTTAGAGTATTTCATGCAAAAGGGTATTGTGGCTTATGAGCCTGGTTCACTTTTTAAATTATCTTCTTGTCCAGCCAACAAAATAGAGTGCATAAGTGAAAAAGGCAAACCTGATTTTTTTTTCCAGTGTAGAAATGGAGATGAGATATATGCCAGTAGCACTGGAAGCTACAGTCAAGTCCTGTGAAGCTCTGTTGACCAAAGGAACCAGCTTTTAGTTTGATTTCACATTTTCACACAGCGGAGTCCTGTTACGCTAAATGTAAATACCCAGATCCACAGTCACTCACTTAACCTGTCAAATCAAAACCAAACCCATTGCTGCCAAGTCAGTGCCAGCTCACAACAACTCAATAGGACAAAGTAGAACTGCCCCTATAGGGTTTCCCAACCTGTAAATCTTTGCAGAAGCATATTGTCTTGTCTTTCTCGCTCAAAGCAGCTGGTGAGTTCAAACCACTGACTCTTTGTTTTGCTGTTGAGCGCTTTAACCACTGCACCACCAGGGTTCCAAATTATCTACGGTCCTTTAAAATACCATTCTTATGCTAAGTTACTAAATCCTGTCTCCTAAATCATTACTGAGCTCTATATGGTATTTTTAAGAAGTGCCCACTGTATATTAGCTGACAGATCCTCAGTGAGGTTAAATAACAGAAGTTCTACAACGTTATGCATACACTAAGACATCTTCACACATCCACATGTAAAATAAATGCTGTTTGAGCTTAGAGGACAAAGTGACAGGAAGGAGGGAACTTAGTATTTTCAGATAATAGAAACTATAGATATAGTTGCACTGAGTTTATATGTTTAGGGAAAAAGTATAGTTTCTTTGGGTATTGATGGCCAACATAAACATGTTGTTTTATATAAGAAAAGAATACAAAAAGGAATGACAGTTGGGAGGGTACAGTTTGCAGTATTTATCAATCTACTAGGTTGTCTTAACTTTTCTGCCTCTTCTTGAGACATCAGTAAACTCTATATGATATTTTTCAAAGTTAACAAAACCTTATTTAAATCTTTAGCAATAAATGCATCTTTACTTAGAGCATAAGCAGTCTTAATGGTGCAGTGGTTGAGAACTTTGCTGCTAACCCAAAGGTCGGCAGCCACTGCACAGGGAAAAGATGTGGCAGTCTGCTTTTTTAAAGATTTACAGCCTTGGAAACCTATGGGGCAGTTCTACTTTATCCTATAGGCTTGCTGTGTGTTGGAATCAGCTCAGTGGCATTGGATTTGGTTTTACTTGGAGGATGAGGCTCTATTTGAAAGTTTTACTCTCACCTCATAACAGTGGTGTGGGATGTGTATCAAAGAAGAGTACATAAAACACAGTTAATTTCTTTTTGCTGTCTTAATGTTTCATATGTTAAATCCACTACCCAAAGCTACCATTAAATCTCAGTTATTTGGGACATTTAATAAGCCCTATTGAAATATTAGTATTAAGTACTAGGCTGTAAATTGGGCAGAAATGAATTAAAGAATGTGGGCAGCAGAGACAAAAACTCATACAGGAAGTAACAAAATAATAACATACTATAAATAAGATACAGGAGTACAATAGATTCGGAATAAAGGACTACTTAGAATGAGTGCAGTTGACTATTTTTCTGATATTTTCTGAACTAGATGAGTTTTGAACCATTATGAGGCCAGTATTATTACCAAGTCAGTGTTGAGTATGTGGAATAGTTAGCTGAAGTCTTCATTATTGTTTTTGGTACAACAAATAGGGAGAACTCTACTTTCATAATTTGAATTCACCTAAGATTCCTGGACTTGAAATATCTCTGATAGTTGAAGAACTAGCCAGCCCATAATGGGAAGGTATTAGAGAGCCACAGGGCTGGTGAGAGACCTTGAAACATAGGGATATAGTAGGGGATGGGGAAAGGAAAACAAATAAGTTTCTAATTTAAGTTTGTTGTCATCATCAAAAAGCATTCACTAAGTGCCTCCTCTTATGGTGCTATGCTTAAGGGCTTAATTCGTTGTGTGTATGAAGAAGTAAATGGCTTTTGTTATATCTTCATAGAGGCAGTAATGGTGTTTATCAGTCACTTAAAGAATTAACCCTCCACAGTCCCGTTTTGTGAGCAACTTTGAAGATAAGCATATGTCCAGAGACCACAAGGAACCTGGATGAATCTAAGTAGCAGAGCTCTGCTTTATACCCAAAAGGATACTCTGCCATGCTTCCCTTGTAATCATGGGGCATTTGTGTGCAGATAGGCAGGTAATACACAGTGAGGCATTCTGGACATTAGTTAAAAACATGGATCAAATTTTTGAAATCTGTTTTTAAGCTTCTTGGTTTAACCCTCACTTACTTAGAATGTAAATATTCTAGCCAAGTACGAATGTTTCTTTCCAGGTTAGTGAAGCTGGTTTCTAGTCTTCTTGTTGTTGTTTCTAGTCTAGAAGTCTTATTTTTCTTTAGTATTCACAAATGCAATGACTAGAGAACTTAAAGGAAGTACCTTTTAGGAAGACTATAAATTTAAGTACACTACTTTTCAGGCTAGCCAGAATCAATATCGAGGCTCTATATTTTCTGGCAGTTAGTGTTTTGTTAGGTGCTTTTTCGCTATCATACAATTCTAGAAAGAAAATCATGCTTGAGATTTCTTTTTTTAGAAAAATCAAAGGAAGAGTCCATGGGATTAATTAGAAAATATGTACCCAATTTTAAGGATCCTAGAAGTTATGAGCCAGGGCATTGGGAAAACCTTTTTAAAGAAAGCAGGTGATTCAATAAGCATATATAAGATTTATCAGTACAAAAATATTTTTAAATAACAACCAAAATACTCAATCTCATAGCTATAGAATTAACTCTTTGACATTAATTTTGCTAATAGTTGCATGTGGTATAATGTTACCATGCTTAAAGTAATTCAGTTAAGTGAAAAAGAAAAAAAAAAAAAAGCATGCATTTGCCATTTGTATGGTCTCTTAATGACTCTGTGCTAACTAATATAGCTCTGTTTATTTCCCCGGATAGGGGATTTGCAAAGTGCTTGGGGAATATAGATTTAAAATGCTTAGTCGTGTTCACAATTTCACAAGTCATTCCCAGTGGTGATTTTAAGGTTCTGAAGGCCATGTACTAGAATTCCATTTTCTGATATTGTCGTTCTAAAAAATACAGATGGGTCATGTGATAATTTTTACAATGTACTTTTGTTTTAGCTTGTATCTATTTATTTTCAACTCTTTTTTAAGGCAAATAAAAAATTGAAATTGGAAAACGGTGGCCTGATGAGGGAGAATTTACGACTCAAGGCTGAAGTTGATAACAGATCACCCCAGAAGTAAGTATTTTGTTCACAGAGCAATGTTTCAGATTAAGTCAGTGTTTTAGAATTGGCTCCTATGATAGTTTGTATGTTTAATTTGACTCTTATTGAAGCGTACAGGTTTAGGTAAAATATCTTACCTCTGATAGTAAAGTGTGTTACTGTTTTATTGGTAAAACCTGAGCCTTAATTAATGCTAATTTTAAAGGATTTAATTCTTAACCTTTTTTCCTTCTCATTATTGGAAGGATTGTTTTATGTGACCTAAGACAAGTGACTTTACATGTAACTCTTTGATACTATTAACATAACAAAATAGTAGGCAGGTTAATGTAATGCCCTTTGGCTCCTTTCTGAGGTAATCATAATAATAATTAGCATTCAGTGCTTTCTCTGTGTCAGGTACAACATCTTGTGGTGTGGAACAGTTATTCTTCCCTATTTACAGATGAGGAAATGAAGGCATAGAGAACTAAAGTTAATTATTTATCTAAATCTGAACATCTGGTGGACATAGAATTTGAACCCAGATAGTCTAGCCCCAGAATTTGTATTCTTAACCATTACAATAAAAAGCCTATCTAAAATGGAATTTTAAGGCATCATTCATTAAATTTTTGACTAATTTAAAACTCTTCAGTTAAGGGAATTTATTCTTCCTTTATGTTTGGATGGTTTATTTAATTCCATTTCAGAGAATGTAGCTATTGACCAGTTTAAAGTTGGTTTGCCTGTTTAAAATAGCAACAGTTGGAAATTAAAAGTTGAAGACATAGAGATGATTGGAGATAAGCACTTGTGGTTCTTCTTTTCCTAGGAAAAAAATGACAACTGAGAAAAATCTGTTGCCTCTGAGGTCAGGCAGCCTCTCTGAGGAATAGCATATCAGGCCTCCACTTTCTTCTCATTCAACCTTTAGATCTCATTTCTTTCTCTTGAAAAAAGGCAAGGCACACATAAGCAAACAATGGAAACTTATCCCAGCAGAAACAGCTCTGTGTTTGTCTATTGAAAATGGTACCTGGCTACTATTACTAAACATTTTGATCAGATTCTATAGAAGAATCCTCAACAAAAGTGGGAAAATGTAGAATAGAATTTAAAATTCTAAAGGCATCCAAACTTTGTGGAGTACTAAGGTTGGATGAACCCTGAGATCATCTGTAATCCTTAAACCAAAAATAACCCCTGAAGTCTTCTTAAAAACAAATAATTAAAAACAACTCATATCAACCCCCTTTGGGTTTCCAAGGCAGTGAGTAGATTGCCCCATCTTCCTTCTGCGGAGTGGCTGGTGGGTTTGAACTGCCAACCTTCTGGTTAGCAGCCAACTGCCTTAGGCACTATGCCACTAGAGTTCCTTAACAACAAATAGTAATTTAGCTTAACTAGTAAAGAATGTCTGTCTTGAACATTGTACTCTTTTAAGATCTATCTTTATGGGATCAATTTAACGACAGCAACTTAAAAGATTTGATACGAAACTTAGGGAGCAGTGTAAGTTTATGTTAATGGGGGAAGAACAACTCGGGAAAGGAGGGTAATGAATATCACTGAATTGTACATACAGAAATCGTTGAATCAGTGTGTACTTTGCTGTGTGTATTTTCAAGAACAACCACAAAAATAAATTACAGGAAAAAAAAAAAAGGAAAAGCAGAAGAAAATGTTGTCTTCAATAAAGCAAATGTGCTATCAGGAAATGATAGACATGAACCATAATTATGTAAAGCAGTGAAACTAACAGTGAAAGAAGTATAAACCGAAACCAAACCCACTGCCATTGAGTCAATTTTGACTAATATGACCCTATGGAACAGACTAGAACTGGCACATAGGGTACAGTCTTCAAAGGCTACAGTCTTTACAGAAGCAGAGTACTGTATCTTTCTCCTGTGAAGCAGCTCATGGATTCAAACCACTGACCTTTTGATTAGCAGCTAAGTGCTTTAATCCCTATCAATAGGATTCATTGAATGAAGCAAAACTTTAACTTTTATACAATTCCTTTACCTCTGCTCTACAACCCCATTTTTCTTCCATTTGGTTCAGATAATTTCCTACTTTGACAAAGTAGCGAAATAAACTTGCTTAGGAAGTGTTGTTATGTTGGCATTAGAATTTCTGTTCCTATCATTTATTGGCAGCTTGCCTTGGCAGTCATAGTAATGCTTGTCCATTAGCCATTTCCCACAGTGTGCTGAATGGAACTAAAGCTATTTTGTTTGTAGCTTTTATTTCTTGAAAACTTGCCCACCAGATTTCAGATTTAATGCCAGCCACAAGGATGTGTTTTTAAATATCTTTGGTTCCAACCTGATAAATAACTGAAGAATCTCACCTGAGGAGACCTGGCTTTGGTTTACCCTAAAACAAGAAACCGCACATCTGAAACCAATATAACTTTAGAACTTGCCTTATTTTTTTATTCCTTTCTTTCCCTTCCCTTGCCTTAATGTGAAAAGTTTCACTTAAAAAAAAACGAATTGAACTGACCCCTATTCCAGATCAATTTGCAATGCATTGAGATATTAAATGCATTGCATTTGATTTATTGCCTTGTTTACTCTGCATCACCAAACTCTAGTGGGATTCAGAGAGAAGCTGACCACAGCTGAAAATACCCAGATTTGGTTCACCTGAAGAGAGCTCCTGTCTTGTATGGAAAACAATATGGAATTCAGGAGTTTGAAAGTAAATGCAAGCAAATAAAAAAATAAATAATCCGTTCCATTTAATTCCCTTGGTTTAGGAAATGCCTTGAGTATTTGTCTCTTACCTGCTTGGTTAGATGTCATGATGTGCTTTTTATACACATGGCCTTAGTCTCTGATATGCTCTAGAAATTGAGCAGACATAGTCTACAGTCATACAGAAGAGACAGCTTTAAAATTTAGACACCAGAAAGGGAAAAAATTAGGAAGATAATTCTTTCCAAGTTCAATCAAATATCATGCTATTGCCCAGAAACTAGACTAGCATCTGATATCACTGAGGGAGACTTAAATATTGTACATTGGTCTGATGTAGATGGAATTGTATAAAAATAATATCCTTTTATAATCTTTTTTTAATAATCGTGTTATGATCTTTTAAAATGATTATTCTGTGCTACTGTTTTTCTTAACAGAGAATAATCATTTCAAAAGATTATAACACTGTTTTCAAAATAAAGACTATAAAAGGCAAAAGACTTATTGACAATGTGTGATATGCAGATGACACAATCTTGCTTGCTGAAATTGAAGATGATTTGAAGCACTGACTGATGAAGGTTAAAGACTACAGTCTGCAGTATAGATTACAGCTTAACATAAAGAAAATGAAAATCCTCACAACTGGACCAGTAAGCAGCATCACAAAATAGAGAAAAGATTGAAGTCGTGAAAGATTTCATATTACTTGGTTCCACCATCAATACCAATGGAAGCACCAGTCAAGAAATCAGATGACATACTGCTCTGGGCAATCTGCTGCCAAAGACCTCTTTGAAGTGCTGAAGAGCAAAGATACCTCTTTGAAGACTAAGATACATCTGACCCAAGCCATGGTGTTTTCAGTTGCCTCTTATGCATGTGAGAACTGGACAGTGAATAAGGAGGACCGATGAAGAATTGATGCTTTTGAGTTGTGGTATTGGCGAAGAATTCTGAGAAGTTCCATAGACTGCCAGAAGAGTTAATAAATCTATCCTGGAAGAAGTGCAGCTGCAATGCTTCTTGGAAGGGGAAACATTCTTGGAAGGGAGACTTTGTCTCACCTACTTTAGTCATGTTGTCAGAAAGGACCATTCCCTGGAGAAGGTTATCGTGCTTGGTAAGGTGGGGGGTCAACGAAAAAGAAGAAGGTCCTCAATGACATGGATTGACACAGTGGCTGCAGCGATGGGTTCAGGTATAGCAGGGATCGTGGAGCTGGCACAGGACCAGGCAGTGTTTCATTCTGTTGTACATAGGGTTGCTATGAGTTGCTATGAGCTGATTCAATGGCACTTAACAACAACAACAACAATTTTTCTTCTCTTATTTTTCATTATATATAATCTTAAAGTGTGGTGGTGGTGGTGATGGTGTTAGGTGCCATAGAGTCAATTTTCAACTCGTAATGACCCTGTGGGGAGCTCTGGTGGTGCAGTGCCTGGGGCATTTGACTGCTAAGCAGAAGGCTGGCAGTTCAAACCCACCAGCCACTCCTCAGAGTAAGGTTGGCCAATCTACTTCCGTAGTGATACTGCCTCAGAAACCCAAGGAGGGATCACTGTGAGTCAGATCTGACTTGATAGCAGTGAGTTTAATGACCCTGTGACAGAGTAGAACTGACCAATGGGGTTTTCTAGGAGCCCTAATAGAACACTGATTAAGATCTGGCTGCTAACCCAAAGGATGGTTTGAACCCACTCAGCAGCTCTGCAGAAAAAATACCTGGCAACCGTTCCTCCCAAAGCACCCACCACCTCTCTCCTGGGTTCGATAATTCACTGCAGTGGCCACAACTTGCTTCCATAAAGATTACAGCCAAAAAAAAATCCTATGGGGCGGTTCTACTCTGCCATATGTGGTCACTGTGATTTGGAATGGACTTGATGTACCCAACAACAATCCTTGTAGGAGCCAATCACCAGGTCTTTCTCCCATGGATTGGCTGGGCGAGTTCAAACCACCAACCTTTTGGTTAGCGGCTGAGAGGGCTTAACTCTTGCTCCACCAGGGCTCTTTATCTTAAACTGTACCTGTGTATATTTATTTCCCTAACTTTCACTTAAATTATTTTTGAGCAATGTGCAGATATACTTTTAGTTTTCATGAGATCCCATACCTTATTAAAAATTCATTTTCCTAATATCTAAACTAGTAGTCCAGAAAATGCATTCATTTTCTTTATGCGATCACTTCCTGAATTTTTCTTTGTCTTGTAAAATAATTTATTTTACCTAGAGGAAACTAGGAGCTCTGGTAGCATAGTGGCTAAACCACTTGACTGCTAACCAGAAGGCTGGCGGTTCAAACCCACCAGCC